ACTTTTATACTCTTAATATTGCAGAAAATTTTAATGATACACATTTTTTTCGTTCTAAATTAGTTTTTCCTATTTGAGGAAAAAAAACACGTTTACATAATTTCGTTAAATATAAGAAACCTTTAAAAGGAACTTTTCCCCCAAAATATATATATTAATACATGCATTATGTTTCCTTTTTTGTTAGGGGACAATGAGTCCAATGAATTACTTAAAGATCTTGTTTTGCTTACATGCATAATTTTTTTTATCTTAACAATTTCAGAATGTTGAGTCAAAATGAACTAAAAGAAAATTTTTCAACTTTCATAAGATTAAAATATTTTTGATAATTTCACCCCCCCCCCAAAAAAAACTTCTCTAAAGTCACAACGCAAATTTGAATGCTATAAGGCAAATAATTTACATAAAAGCATTTTGAATAACACGATAATATCTTAATTTAAGGAAGCATACCTCTACAAAGGTGATAAGAAATACTGGCTGACACCACCATAACGTTAACATCATCTTTCGGAGCGGGAACCCTTTCCTCCCATTGATATATAAGAACTGTAAATATAGAGAGGAACCTTCAGTTTAAATACTAATCACAGTTGAGGAAACAATGATAAAATACCCCAATCCACAAGAAATAAAATAGAAAAGCCATGGTGATTGTACTTGATGATCATATATGTTTTACATATAAATTTAACAAAAAATAGTAGTTTGAGCTGAATTAGAGAAAAATGATTAGTTTTGATTTATTGCGGAATAAATATTATTTCTGATAATAAGGAAAATATTTTTCAAAATCTGTGAATTGGAATTTTCAAGGTTTACATGGGGAAAACAAGGAAAACTCATCAAAAAATTCTCATGAAAGTAAAAAATGTGCAGAATACACCCGAACAATACATGGAACTCGACTTCATTTTTTTTTTACAAAAACGGTCATGGTCGAGTAATTAAAGATTCGATTACATTATTTTTGGCCTTGAAAGGTAAGTATTGCAAACTAAAGGCAAAATTGTAAGCTACTAGTACATTGATGTTAGGGTTTTGAACTTTTTGAAAAAATAAAAGTGGGGACTTAGAAATTTTGACAAGTATATATATAGGGTAGTTCAAATTCCTTTTGGCTCTGTGGAATATTAAAAAAATATTTAAAATTGACATATGGTTTTGAAAAATTTCTTCCTTAGATAGGGAAGTATGAGTATAAGTAGGATTACCACTTGTAGAATGAAATCCAAGTTCTTATAAAAAACGTATCTCGTACTTTAAAAATTACACTATTCTGTTAAAAAAAAATAAATGAAAAGCCACGACAACCCTTTCACATCGTTTTCAAACAATGTAAAACAACTTCAACGAAAAAAAGTTTAGTATAATTAATTTTAATTGAAAACAAAACAAATGTCTAGTATGTACTCACCAATAGATGGCCAATTTACAGGGTATGAAATCGCTCCTTTATATATACTGTGGCCTCTATTAATAATTTTTGTAAAGAGCTCATTTACAATATGCACCTTTCTAAATGTTTCTCTTGATATTTACCTTAATATGTTTCCTGCTACTTGACTTAATAAAATGAATAGTTAAAGATAAACACATCTAATGTTCATGATATTATTACTTATCAATCTACATTCTGACAAGCCGGAAGTGATATAATCAACGAACACATCCAATAAGGTTCATGAAAATTTATTTGATCTGAATTTTTCGTGAAAATTGGACAAGCAGTTTTCGAGAACTCGCGTACACAAAAGAAAAAAAGGGAAACGAAATGTAATAACTAGAAACTCCCGGCCACTGTGCCATCACATGATCAGAGAGGCTTATTCTGCACTTGAAATACTATATCTTTATCGTGTTTCTTATTTTTCTCTATCATTGATTTCGAAGTTTAGGTGAAATATCCATCTGATAATAGAGATGAATTTCCAAGTAAATTATTGCGGGTTTTCTAATGAATTGTCGTACAAGAGTTTAAAGAATACGAGTAATTCTCGTCATCAAACCGCTTCGATATGCATGAAAAAGGCATGCGTCCAAATGATGGAGACGATAGTCGAGAATATTTTGAAAACTTATAGTCGGATGAAAATCGAACAAAAACGATACCCTTTCTAAACTTTATCAAATCCTCAAGTAAATGTTGGATGCATAAAATTTAAATTGAAATTAGACTGATGCATCACCTATTTGCAAAAATGTATTTCAATTTAAGAATATGAAACACGAGCTGTGTAGAAAATGTTTTTATGCGATAAGTAAAATTCGATGTTCTAAAAAAGGGACCTTTCGTTGTTTCGATAGTAAATGATATGCAACCTTCTATATTCAATATCAAAAAAATACATATATTTACAAATTCACTTTCCGAGTACATGTAAATATATTATGCATCTCGTAATTTATAAAGGGAAAGAACTTTCTGTTTTATAATCTTTTTAATGTATAGAAAACCTTTAATTCTGAATAACTTCTCACATCTCAATCCTCATACACCAACAATTAAAATTAATATGTACAGTATAGAGTATAGAGGAGCACGGTCCTCCGAGCTGCAATTAAAAAGTTTTCTTCTCTTAGTAATTTTATCAGAAAATATCTACGTACCCTTTCTTGATGTTCATGCTAAAGCATACGGCGAAAGAAAATATGAAAAAGATGATAGACAATTTTTATTTCTGTGAGGGCCATTATCCACGAATTTACTTATCCTCGAAACCATGAACCTAACTTAATCCACGAAAATTTATGCTCACGATTATTAATGAAACCGCACTATTTACTTTGATTATTTTACAATGCAAGGAGGGGGGATATTCCTATAACATTGCAAAACATCACAAATCACATTTAATTTCATATCATGTTAATAAACATTGGTATCTATGTCTAGATTAAATTGAACCTCAATTTCTTTAAATATGCGGTATGCAATTTTAAAATACTTTAATTGGGTGAAAATTTCGACTTTTTGTAATAACTTTCTGAAAACTTCAAAGAACATTGAAGCACATTGAGAGGTATAACATAAAAATGAAAATATTAAATATTTAAGTTTCATTTCGAGACTTTTTAAATTAAAATATAAATCAAAGAGTTATTCTTCCTGGCTGAGGATCTAAGTACCTTAGTTAATTAATATTTCTCCCCTTAAAAAGAAAAAAAAGAGAATTGAAGTAAGATAACTCCTGCATATGAAAAATTAACTGATTTGTCGATGAATGGATTTTTTTTAATTACCTAAAAAAATGTGTTATTCACATTTAAATAGCAACGGTTCATTTGTTCTAATATAAATTAAAATGTATGACAGAAATTTTTGTTTTCATATATACATCATATTTTCGACTTCATGTTGAAATAAAAAAATATTGAACGTTCTATTTACTGTATCAAATCTAAAATTTTCTTCATACCATAAGACATCAAATTCATTTCCGAAAAAGTAGCAGTGCTTCATATTTCAGACTATTTTCCATTTGATCTAATGCTGAAAACAATAAATCATAGACAATGGTTGAGTAGATTAAACTGTTGTAAACAGATGTCGAAGGTGTTTTATCTTGACTTTAATTAATGAACTATAGTGACTATGCTGTGATGTCATGAACAGCATCTGTGTATATTTTTTACTATAAACTAAGCACTTTTAATTGGATCAAGTAGAATCAAGAGGTACATTTAGAAAGGTGCACATTGTTAATGAGCTCTTCAGATAACACACCAATTTATTTTGACCAGAGGCTAGAGGATATAAAAACTAGCAATTTCTCACAAATTTTACATCATTTGGTAAGTACAAGCTAATTTACTACGTTTTTACATTTAAGGTATTTTTGGGATTTTTATAATTTTCTTTTAAATTGTTAATTATCTTAATAGTAGCGTGAAGGTTATATTAATATGTTACATTTGAAACAGAAAAGAGTATTTTTAAGAAGATAAGATTAGCAAATGACCATTATGCACGAAAATGACATAGTGTCTGTTACTGTACATTTCAAACTTTAAACCTGATCACTTTACTAAAATACATGAAGATCACTATTTATTTATTTTTCTTAATTCTTTTGTTTGAAATTAGCCAAGATGACAAAATTTGAAGAACAATTAGAGATGATTGACACTGTACATGTTTACACCTGAATGAATATTAGTTTAATAATTGTTCGTCTAACGAAGTTTCATTTTCTGTAGCTGGTTTGGAATATTCAAATATTATTACCCTTGATGCATTTCACTATCATAAAATATAAAGATAACGAATAGCAATCCAGCTCGAATGTCAATTGAAACGATACAAATTGGGGGAAAAGACAAACAAAGACTTTTTAAAAACATTAGAGGTGGTCTGGAAAAAAGGAGCAAGCATTTCCAATCGTCTCGTCCCACCAGACATTTGCTCCTAGCAATGGTGGGACAAACAGAAACATCCGTCGACAATTCGGTGTGAATATGAATGCAATCTGTATTAAACACCTCAGTAATCATTTGGTATAATGATAAATTGTATTTATTGACAAAGTCATTGTATTCATTGATTATAGAATTTTCGTAATTATGATTTGAAATGAGACATTCTATAAACTTGTTAAAATAACTTGTTTGTCGATAGATTGGCTCGTTGTAGATTTTTTACGTGTTCTTGCGTATCGATCAACTTAGAAAGCTTTTGCGTAAATTTTAAATAAAGGTGAAAATGGTATTTTATTTCAACGGGATTGCCTAATCAACGCTGGAATAGTGTTAAATTAATAATACATCGCTTAAATCTAACTTTTAAATTGAAGGCTACAGCAAAAGACATATTTCATATTGAAGTTCTAAAAAATTCTGCTTCATTTCAATAGAAAAATATTTGTGCTCAAAATGGAGTGCATTTAGTAGTCATTAGAATTCCGATAGGATGTGATTGCAATTGTTTTTGTTTTATCGTATTTTCTATATTTTTTTTCTATATTTACTTCAATTATTTTTCTTACATGTACAATGTAGGTACTGAATTGATAAAGTAGAACTGAATAACTCTCTGCAATGCTTGCTCTAATCCTGTTTTGTTTTCTTCTGAACGGCATCATGGGACTGCCGAAGGTAGGCTACATTTCAATGGTACTGTCTGATAAAAGGGCAAAAAGAAAGACTCTTAGAAGTCAGGAAACGATTTATATGTTTATGAGGCCTCATTCAAAAATCTTAACTCTTATAGAAAAATTACAATGAGAAACAAAAAGCGTGTGTTACGCATAGGATAAGTTGTGTATTCATTTTTTTTAAAATTCTGTTAGCAAAGAAAATGAATTAATGATGATGTGGAACATTGTAAAATGTTCTATTCTCAAAATATTTCATTTACCAAATCAAACTAAATCCTCCTCTTCACAGAATGAAAAATTTGAAGCCCTCTTACCATGTAATTTTGGGGCCTATGATGCCAACAGTGATGGAGTGATCAACGTCGATGAATTCATGGACGCCACCCACGGTTATACCAGAATGAATCCTGGCACCATTTTTGATCGTCTGGATATGAATCGTGAGTGCTTAAATTGCGATATTATTGAAAATGCTTGAAAAAAAAACAAGAAAGGTAGTTTTTATAAACACTTAGACTACATTGCTGAAAACTGAAAAATAAATTCATGAAGAATTTTTTTTTACAAGACTGGAAATTATTCAATATATCTTCAACAAGGCACTTATTTAATAAGTCTGTATTTATCATAGATGATGAAAATATCCTGTATGCCGAATTTAAAAAAATGGCACCCAGTCTTCAAAGAGATCATGTTTTTGACCACTGCAAGAGATCCTGGTGTATTATTTGTATTTGGAAAAAATAACTTAACGACTGAATAAAGCTTTACAAAAATATCATGTTTGATTTCCTATTTACAAAAGAAGTGCAATTTGTTAAACAATGCGTCAGTCTTTTATTAGTGTTCCTATTTCTCTTTACCATAGCATAATAAATTATACCTGGCACAATATCTAAAAAACTGAATATTTTGCGTTTTGTTCGACGTATCGCTATACCTGCAGACCCTATAAATAGGGCAGGACTTTGTCACTGCTAGGTGTAATCAGTCGAAATCGGTGTAGACGGACGTATGCTATACAGCACTCAGTAGCGACAATAATAACGTAATACTTCGTCTAATGCAGCTAAGTAAGATGCCAAAGAAACTTACAATATAGTTGAACAGGTCAGTGCAGTATAGACACAAGTACAGATACATGTAACTGCAATTAAATGTAAACAAAAGCAATGCAAGATAACCAGCACGAACACGGGTCACCATTCCACGCCGATACCCGTGACAAAAAAGCAGTCAGTGTGACGAATCTGAATAATATACCCTGGCGTTGTTGTATCATAGACGATGATATGGAAAATGGCGTATACCTATTTACGAGTCGTGTTCAGCTTTAAGAACTATTATCTGATACAATACATTGAAATTTATATAAGTTTTATTAAATTCTGTGTTAGACGTTGCGTTAAACTTGCGTATTTCATTGATTAAATAACATGGCATGGTATGTACCTATATATGATAAGAAGAAGCCTTTATTATTAAAATTATATTTTAAAAAATTATGAGGAAAGCAAATATAAGCTTGGAAAATATCAAAGGTTGGTCAAGATTCATGTTCTGTTGCCAGTATCCATTGTTAACATATACGATGGTCGATGCTATGCCGATGTCAGCAATCATTGAGTCAAATGCCGACTGACGTTTTTCATACTAACTGTTAGACTATTCTTTACAAACTGAATTGTCTACGGATTTTCCGTTATTTCCCGATCATGACAAGAAGCGCAGGGTGTGTGTGACCAGTCAGCAGGGGATGCTCCGTGCATCATGGCACCTGATCCCACCGATGATGTTTTCGAGGTCCATGTTTGCTCTGCTCGAAAATGTGTATTGTTTAATGGACTTTTGAGCTTCAATAGAGTATGTTATCTCCAAATATTTCATTAAACCTGCTGTCATTGTCTTAATTGCTTTTACATACTAATCTTTCGTAGCTATTTGAAGATTTCTAGAAGCCTTAAAATAGATTCCATACATGTACTATTAAATTGTGAGCTCTCGTTATTTTATTTTAATACATTTGCATTTGCACTGCTCTCTCTCACTATGAACATGTAGTCATCAAATGTGTTCACAGGACTATAGACGCAACTGCTTCTACTACGAGTGCAATTGCTCTATTCACACTCGTGTAGAACAAGCTCTACTACACTAGGATATTGTGTTGAGAAGTATATATATGAAATGTTTCATAAGAGGAAAAAATAAAAGTTTTTAATAATATTCTTTGAAAAAAATATAAATTCAGAATATTTAAAATTGCTGATTTATATCTTTAAAAATTCAATTTTGGTCAATATATTTAATTGTATAATAAAACTTTTTAAAATTATAGAGAACTGCCATATTTTTATTTTTTCATATCATGCATATTTGTATAAAGAACGATAACTCTTCACACTTGGGTAAAAACATTCAGAAAGAGAATTTTTTAGTTCTCACTTCAGAGTTGTTTTGACATATGATATAATACCTTTGTGAATGCTATTTCAAGAATGATTTTAGGCTGAATAGCTTTTAAAAATAAATTAAAAAACTAAAAAAAAAATCACAGAAAAGCATTCTGGAGTTATAAACATTATAAAAACATTCTCATTTTTCATCATAGTGTTAAATTATTGATTTTTTGTCAGAGGGTTTTAGTAACGTTGATTGATGACGTCACGCATCAAAACAAAAATGTTATGACCACGATGACGGCGCTGATTGTATCCAGATAGCTGTGTTTGAGAGGGAAATACTTTATAAATTGTTTGTGATTTATTAGAGAAAAGGGCATTGATCAGGTTTACTGATTTTAAAGCCATATGTTTTTCTTTACTGAAGACAAGAAGCTGCGTCCTTATGTAAGTCAGGATTTCCTCTGATATTCTTGAAAAAAAAATCAAAGAATGCAAATATAAGTAATAAACAACGATTATTCAATGAACATGGCATTATGAATAGCAATAGCTCTGCTGGCATATTTTCCATGATGCGCTAGCGCGCATCATGGAATATGCCAGCAGAGCAATTGCTACTCATAACGCCATGTTCACTGAATAACGTTGTTTATTTCTTAAATGTTAGCTATGTATTTGGCTAACCTGTGTCGATCCAATTGTTTTCTTTCCATATCAAATTTGAGGGTGACATGATTGTTCCTAGTAACATTGATTTTCTGTATAAATGGATATAAAATCCATATATGGTTGAAATAATAAAGTGTATGTTTATTCACTTAAACAAGAGGCCCAATTAAGGGCCTTAAAGATCATTTGAGTATCATGCAATAACTTTCCAACAATTGAATTTGGTTAACGTTTTAAATCCGAGGCCAGAAAAATCATAATATTAAAAGAGGTACCATTGCTCATCATAACTATCATAACATCATAACATCATAACATAACATCTGCACTTAAAGCAGATCAGAGGAACAAAGGACAAATGCATTTTCACTATATACTAGTAATCAGTGGTGTCCCATCCCACAGGTAGCCCTGACCCCGGGCCACACATTTCAATTTTCCAAAAGGCACCTTTGCTTATCATAAATGGTTGATTAATACAAACAGCAGATTTCAAAGCATTACTTCATTTTCAGTAAATACTAATTAGTGCCTCTTGCCATGGTACCCCTGCGAAGGAGTCATAAAATTCATCATTGTGGAAGATGAGCCTTTCCGTATTATAACTTTGTATTTAGATCATCTCCATAATACCCAGGAACAGAAGATTTCAAAAAATTAATGCATTTTTACTATATAATCAATTGAGTCCCGTCCTAACACCAGAAATACTGATCCAGGGGCCGTGAAATTCATCATTTCGGAAGAGGGGTCTTTTTTTCATCATGACTACGTAAAAGTATATAGTGCACTAGATCATCAGCATTATACCCAGGAGCAGAAGAGAAGGTTTTCATAGAAATGGATTTTCGCTGCATAAACATTGGAGCCACATCCTAACCCTTGACCCAGGGGCTAAGAAATTCACAAATTTTGAAGAGGCACCCTCCCTCCTCAAAACTATGTACGCAGTTCTATGCATTTTCACTATACGAGAGATTAGTTCGCAAACTATTTGATCACCCCTCGTATAATCAATAGAGCCCCGACCTAACACCAGAACCCCTGACCCCGGGGCAGTCAAATTCACATATTTTGAAGAGGCAATCTTCCTCATATTAACTATTTACAAAAATTATCGGCTTATTACTCGGGAGAAGTGGAGATTTTTAAAGAATTAATGTACATGTATTTTCACTATAGAATCATCAGAGCCTCGCCCTAAAACCAGAATCTCAGACCCAAGGGCCATGAAATTCACAATTTTGGAAGATACACACTTCCTCATCATAACTACATGTATGTACATAGTTTATTTTTTAAAACCCAGGGGCTGAGGAGAAGATTATGACAGAATCAATGCATTTTCACTATATAATAACCCTGGGGAATTTCATAATTTGGGTAGATGACACTATGCTTAATACAATTATGTCAACAGTTTGACTGCTTGATGTCCATGTGTAAAGAAGAAAAATTTTAAAGATTGCATTATTTTAGTGGCTTCAGGCCCAGGGAATAGGGCGATGACATTCCAGTCAGTTTTGTTAATTCTCTTGTTAATGACAGCCCCTTGTTGTAATTTGTAAAGCTTGTATTTTCAACACTCTTGGTGAAAATTATCATAACAGATTAATAGGCAATGAATGAACATATGATTTCCAGAAGGACAACAGGGTACATATTTGCAACAATATTAGCAACTGTTAAACTGCTCATAAAAGTAAAAATTACTAGAATCGATGTCTGCTTAATATGTAGGATATACTGGAGTAACAATGTTATGTGAAATGACATTGAACTAAAGTAATGGTTTATAAATACATTTTATAGTCTGTCCCACCAAGTTACTGTAAGCACTTTTCGCATAAAATCTCAAAATATATAAATACCTTGGCTTTCAACCCAGTTCCGATCAATAGATCATTTTTTTTCCAACCTTCCACCGTTTATCCGAACCCTCGAGGTCAACCAGTGTATACACACGGCGGCAAATTCAAAGTCTACGGAGATTTAACATTGTAAACTCGTCCATTAGTGTCTAGATTACGGGGCCGGGAACCAGTTGTCGAAGGGAGTAGTCGTCCTTTGCAAAGTAAATTTCCAAAAAATCGTTAAAAATTCAAGGAATTAATTTAAATTGCTTTTATCGATAATATAACTTTTACTTTGAATTAAAATAAATTTTAACAGCATTTAACAAATTTAATTATAAACTACGAGAAAATAGTCCGAATCTAACGAAGTACAACTTGTGGATAATGGCTGTTGGCATGATGATGCAAGCTTGCCACTGCCAGGCGCAGTGTTTAAAACGTAAGTTGTTTATATATTCCACAGGGGCATCTTATCCACTCTGTTCTCTACTTCACATTTTTATATGTGAAGTAGAGAACAGAGTGGATAAGATGCCCCTGTGTATATTCTGTGGTACTTTTTGCAGCTGTTGTTGTTTTCCTAGCTTATATACACACAAGAAAGAAGTGTCTACAAATGCTAAGAATATAATTATATTTCAAAACGCGTGATATTGCTGACATTAGAACAACATCTCTCTTGTTTGTGCTCATGGTTAACCGTTCGTGTTCAGTAACGGTCTGAATGTAAGCCCATGTGTGGAAAATGAAAAGGGGTGTTTCTATGATTATAAAAGAACACGAATATGGTTAAACAATTAGGTGAAATAATACCAAAAAGAATATAACAGCTAGTTAACTTAGTAACTTTAAGTTTTAAAATCTTATTCCTACTTTCATTTTCAATTTATAACATTCCATGTACATACTACATGCATTTGGCAAATAAATAATAAGCTAGAGATCTAAAGTGCATTTTTATTTTTTCATTTATGTGTAACACCCTTGGGACATCAAAACAGTTTTCAATAGATGACACATTTTGGAATTATTTTTCAAAACTTTTTATAATATTAAAATGTGCATGTAATTTTTCATCAAGTCTTTGGATTGAGTTCTATAATGGTCATTTATGTACATGCATGCATATTGATGAATTAATTAGCAGAACCAGGCATAAAGTAGATGAATATGCTCATACTGTTTCAGAAAATAATGATTTGTCTTGACCTTGCAGTTTAAATGCGAAAGTAATTATATATGTAGTATTCATGAAAGGAAAACAGAAAAACTAAATAGAAGAACATGTCTGAATAGTTTGATCAGCACAAGAAGTTAAGATAGGCTGAATCATTTCATCTGAGTACAGACTTTAAAATAAAATTGATATACATGTAACATCAGAGGGAATCTTCCATTACCCGGTAATACTAGCTGTCATGTACATATTCAAAAGTCAAATTCTCAGTCTGGTCATCTCGAAAAAAATTTTGATTTCCCTGTCCCAACCAACTGGCTAAAATGACTCAAAACTTTTTTTATCTCCAGTAAGCAATTAACTTTTTTTGTATTCTGGAACACATTATTAATTTATAATTACTGGTAATTTTTCTGAGAATGATTTTCTCATCTACCTATATGCCAACCTAATCCTGAGTTGGGAGAGGGCAGGCCTCAACAGCATTGTTTTTTTTCTGTAAAGTCGGAAAAGTCCTATACTGCTCAAATGTGAACTTAATTTGAAAATTTCTGTTTCCTTAATTCCAAGATTTTCATTTAAAGTACTTGTTTTTAAAAACCGTAGAGCATAATTAAAATATTTTTGTTTGATGTACCCTGACACACATTTATCAAGGTGGGTAGGTAGGTATCTTTTTTTGGCTTAATAATATTGATCAAATTGATGTCAAAGTGTCATTAAAAAATTCCAGACTCAACAGAAATTTATAAATATTTATAATACACACAGGATATCTAGACAGATGAAATATATATTGTTAAAAAATTTTTAATCTAAAAGCATCCATTAGAAATCACATACAATTTTTTAAAGGAAACAGTATCTATTTCTAATAAATAAAACAATTTTTTTTTTAAATCAAAAATTCAAAGTGCTGAAAAAATGATCGGGTTGGGGTATTTTTGATGGGTCAGTCTGAGTACATCAAAGAAATTTGTTTATATTGTTGCCCTTATTTGCTAGTACTTTATTTGGTTGACTTAAACTTTGACCTACTTTACAAAGATACCCCGGAAACTTTAAATTAACTAAAGACTTTTGAATATTGAGTGATGTATGTTGATAATTAACATTAATTTTATACATGTTTATGAGCTCATAAAACTGTTCTTTTAAACTATATGATATTCAGTAAACCACAAAAACTGATATCTTAATATTATGAAAATACATTGGGATGGAATCTCACAAAGTGGATCGTGCAATGTGACAATTGCTTTGAAACATGTAACACATGTAAAATGATAAATAATTATTTATGATGATTTCAACTTAATTATTCAGTTGAGGGTTGCATTCTGTATATGCTAGTAGCATAAAAATAGCTGACCACTCTTAGATTTTGTAGATACATCATTAAAGAAGCTAAAAGCAGGTGACATATGTGTTCCTTGGAACACTTTAGTTTGCAATGATATTGATGTCCTGTACTCTTTTATAACACTTTCTCTTCTTTCAGCAATGTTAAGCTTGATTTAGCCACTGCAGTATAAGGAGAGAAGCAGACCAGAAACCCTGACTAAAGTAAAGATGATTTGCATAACAAAGTCAGTAAGTTTACCATATAATATTCAAGATCTTCAAAAATATCCTGTCTCTTTTAAATACATGTATTGAGAATGATTTGTTGAAGCTCAGCACCTGTCAGATGTGAATACATGTTACATTTTTCCCTCATCATTGGTAATCTTCTTCCAAAGAACCACTGGCCAGAAAAGTTGAAACTTATGCAGAAGCATCCTGGGATAGTGTAGATTCTAAATTATTTAAATTATGACCCTTGGGGTAGGGTGGGACTACAATAGGGAACCCAACTTTTACATTGAAATATACAAGAAAAATCTATAAAAAAAATCTTCTTTGGCATTACCAGTACTAGGCAAGCAATGCTGAAACTTATGCAAAATCATTTTGGGGTAGTGTAGATTTTAAATTGTTCAAATTATGACCCCAGGGGTTAGGTTGGGTCACAAAAGGTATAACAAGGGGGAAATCTGGTAAAGAACTGCATCGTCAAAGCTATTCAGGTAATTATAAGTGATGTGGCTCATGAGCCTCTTGTTATATAAGTTGTGATAATTTACAGAAAATTTGAGAAAATATTAACTGCAAATCTGTGTCTAAGCACCTGTAATACTGCACTATCTCACCATTTGAAAGAATAAACAAACATTGATAAAAAAAAAATGTAATTATAACTGAAGCATAGAATATTTGATTATACTTTTATTGCTTACAAAATTATGTTTTTATAGGATGAATAAATCACAAGAGTCCAAAGTTTTGATGACCATGCAGAGTCGAGATATTGAAACAAAGACATGTCTGCACTGTTCACTCAATTTTTCAGAATAACGTGTCAAATTGAAATCCATCTTATGTTGGAATAAACAATCAGGACATTTTTCTGGATCACAGGTTGTAAGTGTTTACATTGTATATGAATGAGAAAGATTTTGCTCTTCCTATGTATACTTCAGATTGAAACCTGAAAATGAGAATTGACCAAGTATTTTGATAAGTAAACAATTCACATTAATATGAGGAGCACAATCTGAATTTTTATTGTATCTTTATATTTCACTTTGCACAAATTTAAAAGTATTTTTTATGCTCTGAAATCTTTATGACGATTTAAAAGGTTTTATCATTAAATTTTTTTCAGGCACAAAGTACTGACAAAATCAAAGATTACCTGGTAGTCTGCAAATGGAGTGATCATTGGATGAGCCAGACAACACCATTTTCCTCAGAAATTTTAGAATAGAGGCAATCTCCATCTTCATAGATGACTCATGTTGACATTTTCTCACTTCTGTTTCATGTCTTTTCTACAGCATGGACTCCAGCATCAGTGGGCACTTGACAATTATTCTTCTTATTTTGTTTTAATATCCTTAAATATAGGACAAACAATTCATTTATCTTTTAAAATATTGTTAAATTTTACTTAATAAAATGATGAAATAAGTGCAAACAAACTGGTTTATCCTATAATCTAAAGCTGTTTTATGTTTCAAGCATTTATAATTTTACAAGACTTATTAAAAATCTGTTAAGGTACTTGGATTCTCAGCCAAGAAGGATAACTCTTTAATTTATAATTTAATTCAGAATCTCAAAATGAATCTTGAAAAATTAAATCTCTTCATGCAACAGTTTTTATTTTATCATGATAATGTTTATAACTTCTCAATGTCCTTTAAGGTTGTTTGAAGTTCTCAGAAAGGTCTTGTAGAAAGTCGAAATGTTAACCTTATATAGTAAAACTCTGTTAAAGAAATGTCAATGGGACCTATGAAAATACTTTGCTATAACCATAATTTGTTTCATCCGTATAAGGAATTCATTAATTTACATAGCTGGGGATCCAAGGTTACCTTGCTATATCTGTGAATTCGCAATATCTGTGTTCATATCTAGACAAATTTTTGATATAAAATCTCTTACTTAAATATGAATTTTACTCTTAATTCACACAAATAAACAGAAATAATGATTTGACATTTGAGGGCGAGACAGCCCCATGGCAATGGGCCAAGACAGAGATATCTCAGCCCCGAGGGAGAGACAGCTCTACTCAGGCCCCAAAAAATTATAGTCTTGTTTCCTGTTACCCAACCTACCTTAATTTTTCGCACCTGACCCTACAGTTTTTTAGGTTTGGAAAAAATCTGGAATTTCTGTAATTTCATGTTCCATGTTCTAAAACTGAAAAAAAATAATGTATATTCAAGTGGTATTTTAGGATACTACTTGGTATATGTTTTAAATATGGACTTTCATAACATACTACTTGAGTCATGCATCAAAAGACAAAAATTAATTTGTAATGAAAATATTGGTCTATGACATGTTTAATTTGGTTATGTATTAGTTCATATCGAAAATGAAAAGAAATTAAAAAATAAAATAATTTTCCTGTCTACCTACCCAATTTTTTTTAGGCTGGTAGCAGGAAACAAGATAATTATTTTTTTGGCCTTAAAAGGCACTGTCTCACCTAGTCCAAAACATCTGTATCAGAGCTGATACACTACTAGGTATATGATATAGGCATATATGCATGTTTGCGTACTAGGGAACTGTCAATGAATAAACTTACTTTGAAAATTTACAAATACAAAAGGAAAAAAAATTGCTGGGACTCGAAAATCAAACTCAAGAAACCTGCATTATTTCATACCTTCAATATATATGTATCTGCAGGTATTTATGGCTTAATATGTATAATGTACATGTTTGTGCTTTTCTATCTTGTAGTTGCACCAGACAACTATTCAGATTCCTGCAATGAAAATTTTTGTTAAGAAAACTCATAAAAATTAAAAGGCTTTCTGTTAAATTTTTTTATTGAAATAGGGAAAGGAAAAAAATTATGATATATTTTTTATAGGCAATTTATTTTTATCTTTTATAGAGACTCCGTATTTTCTTTACAAACTGGACTAACAATGGTCATAGTAAACGGGGGTGGGGGTGTTATCATACTTTTTTGTAGATTTATGTTATTCTTTAGGAAAATAAGCTTATATTCTGATATACTGGTACACCCTCAATAAAATCTGATGATTTTTTTTCTTGTGCCCACGCTGAATTTGCTTTCTTTGGGTCTGCTGTATAAATATTACATAAAATGTAATTATCAAACATAATGACTAAAAAATAAAACAAAAATGTTCTCATTAAACATAAATGTTGCACAACCTGTATCATTAGAAGAACTAGTATTAGAATATAATTTGTAATTAATCGTATTATGTTCATCTTCCTAATTTAGGCCGCACGTTAATCACATATACTGGATTTAAAATTACACAACAGATTAGCAGGTATTGGATTATTTTTTTACGATTATTCTATATAAAGACAAAGACCCGTAGCCTGTACAACGACCTTTCTCTGCTAAAGTACAAATGCTCAGAGTTCCTATTTCTGAGGTTGACTTTCACATATATATTTACTAGATGAATTTTTTTTTATTTAACACCTTTTAATTTGATACGTAAGAAATAATTCTAAAGAGAACCTAGGTTCTTTAATGTCCTTCTATTTTATAATCACGTTGGATGATCACATTTTTTATTCTATTCTACATAGGATATAGCTCCCGGTGTATAGAGAGTATATTCAATATAACTCATTGATGCTTAAGCTTACATCAGCGTACAAAAATATTCATCATCACTATTATAATTTCTATAGCATACTTGATTTTGATTGGATAAAAATTGTTTTGATAACTGCATCAATAAAATCTAGAGTTCGTTTGCACTAAGCAGTGGAAATATACTCTTCTAAAAAAAGAAACGCATAGAAGGAACAATGCCCTGGAAATTTTTGATAGTTTTGGCATACCTTTTATTTTTGTATGAATACGCTGTATTCGAGTGAAATGAATGATTTTTTTAATGCAATTGTTAATTTTACAGCTATTCTACAAGTCTCACAGACAAAAAGACCTGATTTTGCAAAATTTTCCCCCAAATTTTGATCTCAATTTTCATTTGTTGAATTACGATGCAATTCCTTCAGGTACAAAGGGGCTATCAAAAGCGGGGGTTCTCGATATTTTGAATCTGGTTTTATCTGAAAAATGACGCTTCCTAAAATTGCTGCATCTGAATGTTGCGTGGCACAAAAACGAAAATGGGCGACTGGAAGCAGGGGTACCGCAATCTACAGTTGCAAGAGGTTTAAATGTTACACATAGACCATATCTAACCTATAAAATATAAATCATTAACATCGAACACCCAATGTTCGCAAAAAATATGGTAGACTACGTGTGACATCAGCAGCACAGCATCACTTCCGAGGATTACGCAAATTGCATGAATGTAATGCAAGGACGTCATCTAAAGCATTAGCTATCCCTGAACTGCACAGATCATCTAACAAGACCGTTTTCAGTTGACTACGAATTATTGCAAGAGGATTATTCATGCCGTTGTTCCGACCCCACAACACCCAAAATATCGACTTCAAAGATCTCAGATGAATATAGTATGACCACAGCATCACTGCTGAACATTTTGGTTAACCTACTAGTCCAGAATGTTTATCTGAAAGTTTAAGAGTGCTAATGCTTCTTAATGAAGGTTAGATAGATAACTGCCTCCAGGACATTAAAAAAGTTGGTGGTGGTAGTGTAATGATATGAAAAATGGTATTATAAGAAAGTAAGATTGATTTGGTTCGAATTCAATGGACTTTGATGGAAAAAGGTGCTCTAACCATGTTCTACCTACACACACCCAGTCAATTTTGCAGCATCCTAGAGCCGTATTGTAATCTCACAATACACAGCTACATATGGCTCGTTTGACACACCTACTCGTGAAAAGAAACAACAAACTGTTTCAGTCACAGTCATCTAAATCGCTAGAATTAATCCAAATTAAGCAGCATTGGACAAAATGGATTTACATGATTTGCCAAAGACAATCGCATCCCCAGACTCTGCAATAGCTGACTAAAGTTCTACATTTGGAGTGGTAGAGTATTCCTATGCAGTTTCTATTACACACATTTGCTTCCATTAGATGCCGTTTGTGGCTATCATTTGTGTCTGCGGGGGGCATACCAGATATGGATCTTTAATGGTCTTAAACTGACCATAATTTTATAATTGTTGAGTAATTATGACATTTAGATAGTATTCTTGTTGCTTACCACATTTCTGTTTTATCAATGCATCATTTTACTAAATAATCTAAGTGTTCAATGTGTCACTTAAATTCTACGATGCGTTTCTTTTTTTGAAGAGTATACTTTGGCTGTCTTTACATGCATATTTCTTGTTTCTAGATTACTTTTTGAAGGAATAATTAAATAGTTTTACATTAGGCCACACCAATTTAATTTCTTGTTCGTCTGACATTTGATAAAAAAAAGTACGAGCGGGTTAAATAATAATATTATTACTTTATTGTAGGCAAAATTTTTAGGCGGGGCCTGAAAAATTTTAAGCGGAGATTTATATTTTTTCTGATTTCCAGAGTAAGTAGATTAAAAGTACGATAAATAGAGCGGAAATTGAACAGAAAACAGCACAGAATCCCCATGGTGCGGGGATTTTAAATTAATATTTGTATAGTTTTGTTTTAATACTAGCGCGGGTCCTACGAACAAAATTTTTAATTGGTGTGGCCTTGATAAATATTTTCCTGAATTTCGATACCTGTCCGTAACGTTCCTAACTTATTTTCTACTTTCATTTCTTTTTGAATTAGGCCCTACCCCCCTTTGCTAAACAAACCAAATCGTCTGCATGACAACAATGCAGATATGGGAAAGAATGTCTTTGGGATAACTGGTATGAACAATAGAACTGTGAAGAAATGTTTTTATGCTACCAAAGCTAGGAAATGCCGTTTGTGCGTTAATTCTTAGGAAACGAATGATCGAGAAAAAAGGACACCGCATGAATGAGGACGAAATTTCTCTTTTAACTTTAAACAGTCAGCAACAGACTCTTTTAGATTTTACAGCATTGATAGATTGTGATACGTATTTATTTGCTCGGTTTGAAATTCAGATGAAAAGGAGCGCAAATGAAATCCAAAATTTCTGTGACCTACAACTGTTAGGATATTTGGGT